GTACCGACTCGAAACTACAACTTACGCTTTGCTAACGAACTGTTTTGTACATCTGTGTTGCCATAGAAACCACAATAGTGTTGTTTTTTTTTAATTTCGCGTAGAAATGTAAATGTTTATAACTCGTTTATTTAAAAAAAAATCCTACACTACGGTTAATAATTGACTTATAACCCAAATTGCTTACGTGGCAGACAGCATATCGTGTCCACGGCAAACAAGGCCGTCTATTTGATTAAAACATGTAGCCACAGGCCTACATTTTACACACTTCCTCTGCGATCCTTCAACATTGAAGAACAATGCCGCAGTGATGACTAGATCTGCACATAGGCTAACCACATATCTAGTGTGTCGTCAAGAGTGAACTCTGACCTTTCGTTTTGAACCCGGTACTGGTTGACTCAATGAAACAACAAAAAAAAAAAAATAGCCTCGACGCCAACAGTGACTAACATAAAGATAGTCCTTGTTGATGTTGTATGGATGCAGGTCACGCTCTCAGGGGGCACACGGTCGAACATCGGTACTTGTGGGGTGTCATAACTTAGTGCTAGCTGTCACATGATAGTTGGTTGTGCTTTATTGTTGGGGGGGGGGCGTTGTATTGATGCCGGTTATCTGCTTGATAGGCATTTTAAAAACAGTAATTTAACACTGCGGAATAAAATAACTTACATTTGAAATTGTGCATATTGCTTTTGTTTATTTCAAAATGTATTCGCAAAAAGTTAAAAATATACTGGTTCGATAAAAGTGAGCGAGAAATTGTTTGCAGTCTTTCAGACAGGAATCGGGTGAAAAAAAAAGTATGTAATAAAACACGGACTAGTAGCGCTATTCATTTAATAGACACTGGAGAAGTCTGTGTGAATACACTTGTTTTACTTCTTCTGTTTCTTTGTATTTGGGGTAGTGGCTCACAAATACTCCTAGGTTTTTTAGAGTCTTGCAGTGGCCGATATTGGTTTCTTTCAAAATATGCAGTTCATTCCTGAAAATTTTCAACTAATGATTTACAAAGTGTGAACCTAGTTTTTACAACTAGAAAACTATCTTTCGTCAAACGCTTACACATTTTACATACCGTTGTATTGCAAGACATTTTGCTCTTAGTTGATAAATAGAATATTGTTGATCGTACTCTGTGATGAGCGATTGGTATAAAACCCCAAAATCATTTAAGCTACATCCAGCAAGAGCGACAACATTAGTAAGCACAATGTCGCTAGCAAGAATTCTCATGTGATAAATAAACTCATGTGCCTCTATCCCACCTTCTATAGAAATTATACGAGCATTGCTTTAATTCATATCAACATTTTTTTCATCGTCATCCTAAGTAAATAACTGAAGTTCTCTTTATTCATGGCTCCCCCCCCCCCCCCCCCCCCACTCCCCTCCGTCTTGTCATAGCTTAGTCGTTTATCTCCTGTCTTTATATTGAATCTTGTGGCTACCGGGTCGGTAGCAGTGGGCGTTGGCTAGCCTGTGTGATACATGCCGTATATCTTTCGACAAGATAAATATTTCACACCTCGTGTATATAAACAGTTCACGGTGACGGGCATGCTCAGCTACGCGTTTAGATGAGTAATGCCATGTCCACCGAGGGGTAATTTACTAGGGCGATGAAATACGTTTGTCCCATAGAAATAATAAACAACCTTAGCATTTTGTTTTTAAACAGTTGTAAACATTTAGGCGTTGAAAACATAGAGATAAAATCTTGGCCAGCAGTAATAATATAAAGCACTTTCTATTAACAATTGAAGTTTTATCTAAATGTTTACAAATACTATCTTTGAAAAATCAAGCTTCGCGTTTCTTGATATTTTGTAACTACTTACAGAGATTTAAATTACGGAACATTGAGAAAGTATATGGAGTTACTGTAAAATAAATGAAGCTAGTCAGCATTCAGTACGTAGCTTGCTGCTGTTTATTCATAAGCTGAATATATAGAGCTCCGTTGGTCGATTCACCGACGTAGTTGGTAGGCGTCCGTTACATGAAGTGGTTTAGGTCTTGTCTGACACAGATAAGCAGGGCTGGCTCGGGGTTCGGTGTGGGCATTGCCGCCTATTAATTAAACCAGCCGCGATAATTATCTCGACTTATTAGCCTGGCTTGGCCTTTGAGACGAGTCGGTTTCTTGCAAGCCTTGCGTCTGCATTCTTAATTATCTCCAAATATATTTATTCTGGTAGATTATTATAACAAGAATTGTAAGATGAATTGCAGTCTGAAGTCATCCAATCATTTATAACGGCTGGGTCATAATTCATTTTGTATTTTGTCTAATTGGTTGTAATTAACAATGACATCAAAAGGTGTTTGCTTAGCGCGTGTAGTTCTCATGACCACTTGAGATAACTTTTTTTTTTCTTCCTCGGCGCGACACACTGGCTTGACGAAATGTCCTGCGCGTGAATGTATAGTTCTGTACTGGTTTATAATAGCTGTTTCGTCTTGTCTCATAGGTTGAGTCCGGTCAAGTTTGGGAGTAGCCTGAAACCTTTAGCATACTTGAATATCATTACCTGTGCTCGTTAGCTTTGTGTCGGGGAATGTTTTCAATTGTTACCTAGGACTGCACCTAATTGATTTAAATGACTTCATCCTATCACGTGACACAAAGCATACATGGCGGAATCAATTACTGTCCATGTCAATTTTCTGCTCCACTAACATACATACGAACATACATACATATCGTTAGGGAACTTCAATAGGGAAGTCAGGACATACTGTTCTATAGCAATGATAGATTGGCAATTATTATTTTTTTTCCTAGCTCTGAATAAAAAGTTAATACCCTTTTTTCATTGTTTATTATTTTCCTTTCGTATTTCTAATGTTACCGTCTCGCCAGCGTGGCACTGGTGTCTGAGTTACCGTCCTTGATTTGAATAATGACAGTGCATGTGTGATTCTTATGTGTGTTGTTTTTTTTAAACGTTGGAAAAATATTGGTTAGGCTTAAGTGATCCAAGGAGGTGTTGTTGTAGTGAGTCAGCACACATATTGTGTAGCCCAGTGCTCCCCAGCACTCGCTTATGTGGACAAAAGGAAAATTTCTATTTATAAACAAAATATTCCATTCCCTCTACTACCCCCCCCCCCCCCCCCCCTGTCTTACGATTTCGACCACTAGCAGTTTAGTCACATTTCAGTAGAAAGCTGTATCTGTTGTAATCTAAGGCATATTTCCTTTATTTATTTAGATTACATTTAATTTTTTTTCATATATTTAGTAAGGAGAACATTAAAATAATGTTAAGAATTCTTGCCCCTTTGTTTTCTGCCAGCTTTTTAAAACTTGAGACTCTCATTGGTTATCTACAAAATAAGTCAATTTTCCCTTTTCATGATTGTAACTATTCTTGCAAAGTTTATTAACCATCTCTACTCTTTTTGGGGTCAGTATAGCAAATAAATTAATAAATGCCATTAGACCAAGGTCAGGTGCCCCTCTGGAACTAAAGAATTGTTTTCTCTAGGATTTTGAATAATTAATAAATCAACACAATAAGTGGATATAAAAGTAACAGTTTATACATCTTAAGATGTGAAATAGAGGGAGTCCTCTGGTTTGAATGAAAAACATTCACACAAACAAGTCTTCCAGTTTAGTAGTAGCTAAATGAATGACTCCTTCTGAGAAAAATCCCACATTCAACCAGGAAGGCTTATAGTGCCCCCCCCCCCCCCCCCCCCCCCCAAGCCATTCTTTCTCCTCTCTAATGGGACTATGGCCCTTTTGTTGACTGCATCATTGTTTTGTTTTTTGTTGTTGTGGGGGTTTGTTGATGTTTAAATAATACCTTAAAGTTAAATGATATTATGTTTTTAAGGGTTTATTTTCTTCATTACTGAAAAGGTTTTTATTATCAAAATCATCAATCATTCCAAGCCACTGGTTTCTTTTGTGGTGGCATATTTTATTTCCTAATTAATCTTGAGTGTTGTTTTTATGAGCTGCAGCACTGGCCAGTCATAAAATAGGCACCAGATTGTGGGGTGTTGTATGGTGGTTTATTGAGCACAGAAACTTCCTTTCAAATAAAGTAGCCACTGCACTCAGTCCATCTTTCATGTTTATTATGCTTGGTTGATCTATATTTCATACATCTTGATCTTTATTTGTGATATGGTTAGAAGTAGGTTTGAACTAATCCTTGGTTCGTTCCCCCCTTATACTTGTATGTTCGCTTTTAAATAAAATAAGTGGAGGGAGAATGTGATCAACCAAAAGATAGTAGGAGGGGGAACATGTGATATGGAAACAAAAACCACTCAGATAATGGCACTTAACCATGTATTGTAAGAGCACTAGACTGGGGAAAACCCACTGAATGTCAAGTGTCCACCATTGTTGTGCTTGTGACTATTGAAACACAAGGTAGAGAGATACAAAAGGTATTGTTCTAAATGTATACATTTCAGAATGATACTTTTTGCTGTGTTTGGTAACCATTAAGAGCAACATATCATCAACCCTGACAATGCTCCAATTGCTATGATATTAACCCTATCAGCCAGTGCCCACAATAACAAGTACATTAACCCTACCCCTGAAGAATTACATGCATTTCGAATCAATGTAAAATGTAATTTTATACCTATATCAATTTTTATTCTCAGTAATATTATTTTGGTCCCTAATGGATTGATTGCAGGAAGGCGTATCTAAAATGCATTTCTGGTTTTAAATAAACATGGAGTAGATTGTAATCATATGAATGCAACATGAATGTTCCATTTTTTGCTGCATTAGCTATAATGTTGGTTTTATTTATGTGGTGATTGTTGTTTAAGTTAAATAGCTAGTTTATGATTACTTTATAGTAAAATTGGATTTGAATGATTTGGGATATTTTTTATATTTTAATTTTTTTTTTACACACATACTATATATGATGGCAGTTCTGATTTTAAAACAATCTTATTGGCTCTGTAAAAACACATTTGTAAAAGTGTGTCTTGTTATTTTACAGGTGACATTACTCAGAAAGGTTATGAAAAGAAGAGGTCACGTCTGTTGGCACCATATGTCATTCAACAAAACAACGAAGGTATGTTTTGACATTTATGATTGCTTTTATTTTCATTTAACCCCAATCTGACTAATTTTCCCCAATTTTTAACCCTATCATGCCCAATTATAATATATTCCAGATTGATTTACAACTCCACAATTTTTCCAATGCTTTATGCTTATAGAGATGACAGACTAAAATTGACTTTAAAATGGGCAACTATAAAAAAGTTTCCTGGCCAGGGGGTAGGGGATAGAAGTGTGTAACTGTATTCAGTGCCACTATGATATATTAAATAGAAATGTAGCTGCTGATACTTGGAGCAAACATATCTACAAGAGTATATTCTTCATATCTTGTCTAATTGACTAAAGTTATGCTTTGATTTTTATTTTATTTTGTGTCTTTAATATGGCTGTATTAGACTATTGGGCGATTGTGCCTTGGAAATCCAAGCATAAAGTATTTGCAGCGTTGAGAAGGGCCATATGTCGTAAAACAACTGCTAAAACATTAAAGAGTTCATTAAGTTAATTATTGTTGGGCAAATAATTTTAAAGTGAATAGTACAATATTAATAATCTTCTTTGTGTAACAGTTTATATTTTATATTTTAATTTTTTTTTTTACAAAGTTATATTTCATCAACACACTAAAATACAATATTGCTATTTACCACAAACCATTTTTTAAATTTCTATTATTACTCTTTACACATCTAATTCCATAGATATCTTTAATTATAATACGATACTTAATTACACATAAGTTGTCTTTAGGATTTCAATCTGCTTTTTAAAAAGTAAACCAATATGAATTATATCTAGTTTGTCAAAGAATTTTATGGTTCTAATTGGCAGGTCTTACTTAGGCTAGTATAATCATGTAATATAAGGTTAACAATTTGTTGCATATCTGAACCCTGAAAGGTGATTTTGGTATTCATTTGGTTTTAATTTGGTGCAATTTCTATGGACCTCTTTTTAAGTGCTATTCCCTGTTGTTTTTATAAGTTAGCTCTAATACCTGTGCCAATCTAACATGCATGAGCATTTATTTTCTTTTAATTACCTTGTGAGATCCTTGAGATCAATGACTGTTTCTTTAACCCTACTGCCACATCCCTAACACTTAGGCTGCTTTTGTGAAGAGCTTTATAGCCCAATGCCAAATTTGACATACTACAACTCTTTTTTTTTTGTTCAAGAGATCCACCACTGATAACCTACTCCATGCAGTATAAATTTAGTGAAAATATCTATCTACCATTTATGAGGTTGCATATGTCTTTGTATTGATATAAACACTTTAAAATTTTTACAAATCAAACAATGTAATGTATGCATCATTTGTTCAAGATTGCATTATAATAATTAAATTAGTAGCATCACTCTGTTCTTCATCAAGTTTTTTTTATTACTGAAGATGGATCACTAGGATGATGAAGTCATAACACTACTAAACACATTGAGAAACGAAGAAAAGAGAAATTTTGTATATGTTTAAAATCTAAGACATAGGGCACCTATGTATTCTAAGAGTCCCGAGCAACTTGTTCATTGTATATTTTCCATAAGACTTTTCACTAAGGACAATGCAATACTTAACATGCGGGTAATGTGTGTGTGTACTATAAAAATTATGCAGACACATGCACTGGTGTACAGTAATACATCCTCAACAATGTGTGCATTTATTTTTAGCTGGGTCAGGGGCGGGTGCTCCAAGCCCTTCAACTGCAGCCCAACGAAAGGCGCAAAGACGGTTGACAAGGGAAGACAATCGATACCATTCTGGTGAGCACAAACATGTTTTGCTGTGTATGACTTGCATATACCATGTTTGTGAGAGTATTCTCAACTGTTGTTGTGACAAGTTGTTTTATTGGCTTTTTGTACTTCGGTGTTTGTTTGACACTAAGGCCTTTCCCCATAGAATAAAAAGAAGGCGTAATTTATTTTTTAAAAATATCTCACTATGCAACAGATTGATCACATTTTTAGCTATTATCTTTCAGTAAAGTTCCCTATCAAACCTAACGGTCCATGGGGCTAGTGAAGGATAGTTCACCTGTTTCTGTGACCTCATCATATGAAGGGATAATGTAGTCAGCACTACACCCAGCCAGCTTTACTTCCCTAACATGAGTTTGATACCCATCAGAGTTGGGTGGACTCAGGGAGGTGTTGTATTTATTTGAACTCGAGACATTTGGGCTAGAAGTCTAGCGCTCTACCGCTAGGCAATACCACCCTTTTTTATCTTGTATTAAATTAGTTGCTTTATAAGACCTCCTTTGTTTTTCCCCATTAAATGAATAGAATTATTTTTCTTTAGGGAAGTGTTTTTTTAGTGTAGTCTTTTCTATTATTGCCGATGAATAAAAATAAAAGTATTCATACTAAATTTGTTTTTTATCTACATCATTTAAAATAATTGTTTAAATATATTGAGATTTGAACATTCTACTAATTGGGTTGTTATATGTTTGCCTCTTCTGTTTTACCTCTGTATAAAAAGTAAGATATGTATAGAAAAAAGTAATTTAAGAAATGTCACTTACTTTGAAAAAGAAAAGTTTTTGGTTTCACTGATATTAAATGAGCAATGAGTCAAAAGTTATTTTAATATTTTACCTTAGCAAGCTTTAAGTGTAGTAGTAATTGCAGTAGTTATTGTGCATGGTTGGTTGCTTCAGTCGCAGAACACAGAAGCTTTGCTGCTTTTCTTTTCTTATGGAATGGTCAACCTTTTAAAAAAAGAAAATTAATGCACTTCCTTACCCTTATGTTATGAACACATTTTACTGAATTGTCCTTATTTTCCAGTCACAGATTAACATAAAAATGCTCAACGACTTGTTTTAAAATTTAAAAAATCACACAAATGAACACATTAACAAGTGTTGAAGAAAAAAGTCTTGAATTTTGAGTGTTTTTATATAAACAAATTTTTGTTGTTGTTGGTTTTTTTACACATTCCAGCTCCCATGTTTTATTTTTATTTGACAGAAAAACCCAGTGTTTAAAATATTTTATTTTATTATGTTGAAGCTCTGTAAAAATGACAAAGCCTTTTGTGTAGTGTAAATGTGCTTTAAGTTACGATGCATGACACAGGTAGTGTTTTATTCTTTTATTTGACCTAAGCTAGATGTAATGCTCCAGCCTCAGCATGCCTCTAACATTGTTTGCTTGCTGGTAATAATTTTCAGAAATCCGTACAGAAGCAGTCATGCAAGCTTTGGCAATGCAGAGCAGGAAAGTACCTGTGATGCCACTGCCTTCTAAGCGTACTTCAGTCAACTATCAAGGCCAGCAGAGAAGAGAAAGACAAGGTAGGTTGTGTTCACCATGTATGTAGCCCATCTTTTCTTTTGGAACAATGTGGTCAAATGGTAGAATGTGTTAGTTATCCAAGAAAGTCCTGAGTTTAATTCTTCTTCAAAGAAGGTGTTCTAGAGTTTCTATACATTGATGTGTACCTAATATTGTATGGGGGAAGTAAAGCTGGTTTGGCTAAGTGTTGACCAGACAACCTCTTCCTATGTAAACTTCCAAGCAAGGGATGAACTGTGCCCTTGGACCATCAATTCTGTAGGGTACTATCTGACATCTTATGTTGGCATCTCTTGTGGAGCAGCATTGAATGGTGAATGTTCCCCTTCTAGGCCTATTGATCCATAGGGCAGATGAAGTGCAGCTCACCTGTTTCTTAACAGAGGGATGATGTGGTCAGTTAAGGACATCTTGCAGACTCCAGTCTGGACTGAAACTTTCAGATTAGCAGTCAAGTGCTCTACAACCTGTCAAAGCCATCACATTAAATGATTATAAGGCGTGTAACATGTATAATGGTTGGGTTCTAGCTTTTGAAAGTAAAATGTTTCTCTGGATCATTCTAGCCCCCCTGGTTGTAACTAACCTGAGGTGTTAAAAGTTGAGAGTTGTACTAGCCCCACAACAGACAAAGTTCCTGTGTACAAAAGATTGACAGGTGCCCCACTTGAGAAAGATAGAGGATCCTTCACATCTGCAGTTTCTGTGGGTCTTTCAGTTGGGTCCAGGTCCTAAGTTCTAACTTGTTTCATGTTTCCTTGGTCTGCTTTTGCACCTCAAGACTTTTTATTTTTCTGTTCAAGAACATTATATATTATCTTTATCAGTATCTTATTTTGCACTAATGTTTTAAAAAGTTGCTACATAATATATTATATACTATGTTATGAATGCAAAGATGAGTAAAGGAGGGCTGAAAAAGACTAAATATTGGAACAGACTGGGATAAAAATGTGTACTTAACACAACCTGAAGTTCTGTTTTCTATTAAATGTAAATGTCAATGTGTTTCAGATTCATCATCCGATGATGACAGTGTGTTTGATGAGGAGCAGCTGAGAAACTTCCAGAGGGGTGGTCATGCCAGGGACTCTGGTGCCAGCTCTAGTTCATACTCCGACCATGGGGCGTCCCCTTACCATGGGGGAGGTGGAGGGGGCAGCGGAGGCAGTGGGCAGGCTGAAAGACCAAAGAGTGCTCAGTACTCAAACTACAGTATACCAGGCAACACTGCTCGCCATGCTCTGGCTGATGTCATGCAGAGCGCCAGACATTGTAAGATTATTTAATCGTTAGTTTACAAGACAAAACCACAATAAGATTTTATGTAAACTTTGGTTATTTCACTGCCCAAACTACCTCATTGAATCCTGACTCAACCAATAACCATTATATAGTTCCACACTATCTCAAGTAAACTAGTCATTAATTTTACAGCACAACCTACCTCATTCAACCCAGACATTGTAAGATTATTTAACTGTTAGTTTACAACACAAAACCACAATTAGATTTTATGTAAACTTCTTTTAATTCACTGCACAAACTACCTCATTTAATCCTGACTTAACCAATAACCGTTATAGTTCCACACTATCTCAAGTAAACTAGTCATCAATGTTACAGCACAACCTACCTCATTCAACCCTGACATAGCCAACAACAATTATAGTATTACACTATCTCTTGTAAACTACAGCACTACCCACCTTATTCTACCCCCTCCCTCGTTATAATCAACTAGTTTTACACTGTAAAAAACGGATTCTCTAATTTCACTCCACAGCCCACCTTGTTCAACCCCCTGATGTAACAAACAATGCCAAAAGCACCAGACAAGCAGACAGGGTTGGCCGGTACAACCAGTCCTCTGTCAGAATGAATGCAGCAGGGAATGTTACTGGATTAATTGACGAGGATGGTAAGGTGTTTTTTAAACTCTGGTTTATCAAATTAAACTTAATTGAGAAAAAGTAATCATTTACTTAATTTATTTTTAGTTAGTTAAACCTGATGGTTCCGAATGGTCATACTAAAATAACTTTATAATTACAGTAATACTCACTTCTTTGTATGTAATTTTGGTTATTTCTACATTCTATGTAGTTTTTTAAGTTTACAACATGCATTTATGGTAAAAATAATTATTTTTTACTACGTTGAGAGATGTTTATAACATTTGAAAGATTTTAAAGCAGAATGATTTGGAGTGTATGAAGAGTTTATTAAAAGCTTCAAATAATATATTTGGGGTGTCTGAATGAATGATCTACAATATAAGTTATTATATACCAACTTGTTATTGTGAGCTTTCTGTTATGATAAGTGCATTTTTTTTTTTGAAGATTTGAGCATGCAGTTAATTTAGGCTAGTTTTATTTAAGCTAATGACAGTGACATTGATGTTTTCAGCACCTGCTCATGGAAAAGTTTCTGCCAAGATTCAACAGCTTCTAAATACATTAAAAGTAAGCTGTTTTTCTAATCCATAGCATTAACATTTACAGTTCTATTTAAGTATTTTAACATTAGCACATTGCAATCATTTATACAAAATATTCACATGTATTTAAGAAACTAAAAACTTTCTTCTAGTTATCCTTTTAAAACCTGCATTAAAATTTCTTGTATTTTTGTTAAGGTATTTTTATTTTAAAAATGGCCTATTCATTTCTTAAATAATAAATAAATATGTGTGTTCTGTAATTAGTTGTTTATATGAATAAGTAGTTTAAGTGTTGAATGACACCTGTAGTGTTTTTTTCCCTCAGAGACCTAAAAGAAAACCTTTAAAAGAATACTTTGTTGATGAGGAGGAAGCTACTTTAGAAAGTTAGTGATTTCCTTAATGTGACATACTTGTTTATTTACTATGTACGTTTGTGAGACTTTGTCACTTGAGCATGAACAGAATAATTTGAGAACTATTGATAAGTTTTGTTTCTGAACCAGGTAACATTCAGGCGTTAGGGCAATTTTTTATTTTTATCTGACACTGTTAACAATTGTCTCTTCAGTTAGTTTTTGTTCAGTTTAAAATTATAAATGTATGTAGCATGTAAGTGGATACATTTTCTTCAGCCCCTACCACAGATCCTAACGCCCCCAAACCTGAAGGCAAGGAACTTATACCACAACAAGGCGATCCACTTGTGGTAAGACTCATACATTTTATATTACTAAAATAATTTATAAAATCATTTCCTGTTTATTGACGTCAGGTGTCTAATCTCATGATTTAATGTCTGATGTATACATGAAAAATGGCTAAATGTTTTCGAGAAGGATTTTTGTCATGTGTTAACTTAATGGAAAAAATCTGATGTCATATTTTGATTTATGTTAATAGAAAATTATTTCTGTTTAGATTCCTTCAGGCCTTCCCCGCAACTTAGAAGGAGCACTTCACAGATACGGGTCGTCAACTTACAAAGCTAATGCTATAACAGTACTTGATGCTAATGGAAAACCATCATATAATTTAACCTATGGGAAATTGCTCAGCAGAACACAGAAGATTGCATACAGTTTGCTGTGTAAAGTTGGTCAGAAAGGGGAGCCAGTTAGGCAAGGGGATCGGGTATGTTAGTGTTTTCTCCTGCATAAGTTGGTAGTTTTATTTATCATAGAAAGCAGCTAATTTTAAAATTACATGCTAATTTAATTTAATTAAAAATTTAACTAAATGTTTTCATGAACAAGCTACATAATTAATTTTCTTACAATAAATGTTAAACCAATGATACTTTTCATTCTGAAAAAAGCAGAAAATTTAATCTTCATTAGATAGAAATTGTCTTTAGTTGTTATATCAATATTTAATTGCGTTTATTAACCCGTCATTTCTAGATGGATGGATGGATGAATGTATGAATGTGTGTCCGCAGCTTTAAGTCGTATCTCCTCCTCAACGAAGCAATATCGAGGACTAGTTGCAAAAGCAATTATGTTAAGCAAGTTACGAGGATGAACATAGGCCATAAAAATTCCGGGTTTCTTTCATGGATTTCCCGGAAAAGACAAAAAAACTCGAAAAAATGCAGTTTTTTGCCCATATCTCGGCAACCAGACCTTTTAGCGACTTGAAACATGTACCAATCGATTCCTGCCATAATTTAGAACAATATTGCCGAAGAAAGTTTTCAAAAATATCCTTTCGTTCGGTCACAAACAATTTTTGAATTAATTAAAATTTGGGCCGGATTAGTAGGCATTTTTATCCAACCACACCACACGCGTCATCACATTCAATAGCTGCGCCATCACGTTCAATGGCTGCGTCATCAAGTTCAGTAGCTAGGCGCGCAATGGTTTTTAGTCATGTCACTCTATTGTAAATAAAACATGTATTTTAACCAATGGTTTTACTAACCCTGTTCTTGATTTACGCTACGACGGAGCTATTTTTAGATAACATAAGGAAATTGCGCTTAAATGTCACTAGACTTTTTAATTAACTTGTTTCTGATATTGATTGTTTTTTTTTCAGGTGGCTGTGGTGTATCCCAATAATGATCCCATATCTTTCATATGTGCATTCTATGGCTGCATCATGGCTGGGGTGGTGCCTGTACCTGTTGAGGTGCCATTGTCCAAGAGAAGCGGAAGCTCAAATGTAAATATACTTTATTCATCTTTTTACACTTGGCTCGTCCATGTTTGTTTTTATCAAATTTAAATCAACTCATATTAAATTACAAATATTTTAATTGGCCACTTCAGTTTTTTTTTGACTAAATTTTTATAAGTGCACTTAGTGAAAAAAAAATTATCAATTGCAAAATATTTTAAAATTATTGCATTTGTTTAATATTTTATTATAGAATGGTTAAGTATTTGATAGTACTTGAGTAAAGTATTAGTTAGAATAATGATTGAGTATTTAGTAGCACATATGTAAAATACTTCATTATAGTTTGGTTCAGTATTTGATTATAGGTAGATAAAGTATTGGCTAATACATTGATAAAGTGTTTTAGATTTCTGAATACCTTTGATCCCCCTAGGATGCTGGAGGAGCTGGTGTAGGATTTTTACTTGGAAGTTTAAATGTTTGCTGGGCATTGACCTCAGAGAACTGCTACAAGGGCCTGCCTAAATCATCTAATGGGGAAGTTGTTACATTCAAAGGTGAGACCTACGTTTTGCCTGTTGTTTCTACTTAACATGATGGCTATGTGACCACTGATAAACGTAATATTTAGTAGATATTAGAAATAATTGTATTGATTCTAATATTTGCCAGCTTACAAAATCACATAGGGCCTAACCCTTTAAATTCTCTTTCTAAATTCAACTTAATACCTGAAATGTTAAAAAAAAACATTTTTCCTAATTTATTGTTGAAAATGTAATAAATTCACAAAAAAATTTGGTATCGCTGAAATAAAATAAGTTTCAATAAAACTTTACAGACATATTGACTATAGAAGCTTTTGCAGTTAAAACTAGCACTACATTTTTCTAAACCTATCTGTGTGTTGAAGCAGGTTCAAACTGTTTACTTTATTACCAGGCTGGCCAAGGTTAAACTGGTTCATCACAGAAAACCTGAGTAAACCTTCAAAAGACTGGGTCATACCCACCAGACAGACAGAGGAAGTGCCTGCTTATATTGAGGTCAGTTTCCACAACGACAAATTAAATATTACACAGTATTATTGACTTTACCCGTTTTGATGTGCAACCATAAACTGGCCAAATACAAACTATACTAATACACTTAAATTTAGTCATTTCGTGAAAAAGTGTTTTATTATGCTTACTGATTTTAGTCTGTTGTGAAATAAAAATGTTCTTGTTGTTGTTTCTAGTATGCACTGAACAAGGATGGCAGCACAGTGGGCGTGACAGTGATGAGAAGCACAATGCTCTGTCACTGTCAGACCTTGACAGTAGCTGCTAATTATACAGAAGGTAAGCCTGTTGTCTAGTGTAAATTAAATATTTATTATAATTAGTACTTAAATTATTATACTGACATATTAATATTTACACAAATGTATTCTGAGTAAAAATGTTCTAGGGTGACATGTTAATTGTACTTTATTTTTAAAAAATTTGCTCACAGTAACTTTTCTAGAATCCATATTTTTATAGACTTTGCATGGGTTTTGGGTGTTATGTTTATGTTTCAATGAAAATCACCTCTAAACATGAAACTGCTAGTGTAACTGTTTGATGTATTTAGTTCTTGAGTAACACATTGTATTTAAAACTGTCATTGTGTTACTTCTTAAACTAGAACATGATTATATTTCTTTTACACTTGTATATTAAATGTTGATGTCTAATGAACACATAATTGACTGTCTTATCAGGTGAAGTTATGGTGTGTGTATTAGACTTTAAAAGAGAAGTTGGGCTGTGGCATGGTATATTATGTGTAAGTCTGTTTTTTATTATCATACAAAGATTAGCTTAGTTAATCAATACAATTAGGATTAAGATCACTACTGGCAAGAAGTAACAAGTTTCAAGAATAGACAAGACACTGAAATTTGAACTTAAATCATCTCAAGTGCGTTAATTTTTCAGAGCGTTTTCAATGGGATGCATGTGATTTTTATTCCTTATTCTCTGATGAAAGTCGACCCAGCATCTTGGATGAAGATGGTCACAAAATACAAAGGTTAGTGCTCAGCTCACTATACAATATCAGTCGAAATATTTGATGATAAATAATTTCTTTTGTAATATTTTGACTTGTTCTGTACTGTAAACTTTAAACCAATCATAGTTTTCCTTGGTCTTGTTATTCTGTTATTTATATATATTATTCTGTTATTTATATAAACAGAATATTTAATTATAAAAGTTTTGAAGAAATAACCCACTGTTATCTTTGGTTAACAGCAACAGTAGCAATTGTGAAATCTAGGGACATGCACTGGGGACTGCTTGCTCAAAAAGACCACAAAGATGTCAACTTTAGTTCTCTAAGATTATTACTTATTGCTGATGGTGCTAATCCATGTGAGTATTTGTTTCTAACTAAAATAAAATGTTAGAATACTCAGCATGTTTGATACTGAAATGTCAGACTGTAGAGGCAATGAGTTAATTATTAAATGTTAAAAGAAAATATATATGTTTATCTGAATTTACATGTTGAGGATTAGGCCTCTATACATGGTTATGTAAAAAAAATGATACAAAAGTTGAAAAGTGTGTTGAATCATATGTCAATGTTTTTGAGAAAAGTCATTACTTTAGTCACTCATGACCTCATAGCTAATGGAAAGCTCTTAACAATTAATGTATTTCTTTTCTCAGGGTCTCTCACTTCTTGTGATTCATTCCTAAGTGCTTTCCAAAGCAAAGGTTTAAGGCCAGAGGCTATATGCCCCTGTGCAAGCTCATCCGAGGCCCTGACCGTTTCCATTAGAAGGTTTGTCTTAAATTACATTGCTACTCTTCATTAGCATTGCTGGTGTATGTAGTTGTCTTTAGAAGCCAGTGTTAAAGTGTTGAGTAGGGTTGTGTAAATAATGGTTTAGGTGGCTGTTGTAATCTATGTTGTGGTTTAACTCAACCCTCAGGCCTGGAAGGACAAGTTCCAGTGCTACAGGGAGGGGCATTTTGTCTATGCAAGGTCTGAGTTTTGGTGTGGTCAGAGTGGACAGTGAAAACAGCTTGACGTCCCTCACGCTGCAGGACTGTGGACAGGTCATGCCTGGTGGTAGGTTATCCTCTAGATGTACTTAGAGCTAAGTGCTTAGTTAAACACTCTCTAGTTCAGTGGTTTCTTACCCCGGTTTGATCCAACCCTAGGGTTTCGGTGAGTCAGTCTCAGGGGTTCGGCGGAGGTCAAGACACGACCAACTCAAATGATTCACGATAGGATTTTGTCAGTGCAGATGATAGAACTATTTAGAAGGGTTTGTTAAATGTGCATATGAAACTGGTGGGGGTTTGGTACCTCCAAAAAGGTTAAGAACCACTGCTCTAGTTAGTGCTTTTATGAAATGCTACAGATTTCATTGCTCATTTTTATTTAATCCGCAGTAAAATTTTAGAAATTTCTTTTTATTCTACAGCATTTCAAAAAATTGTTTTTAATGTGAATTTAGTTTAATTTCTGTTTTTAGTAAATAAAATGACTTAAAATTCTCTTTAAAATGAAAAAAAAATACAGTTACAATTTACCATTTTGCTGAATTGATTCCACTTATTTTGCAATTAGAATGCTCATCTGTAAATACTACTGGCACAGATCTCCTCAACTCTAGACTGTGTTAAAGGCAACACTTATCTGACAGACTTCACTTAGTACTGCTGACTGCCTCCCTGAAATAGATTCTGGTCCCATAAATCTCCATTCTGGGATGTGTCAAAGCACTTTCACCAGTTGTCTCCCATTTGTGAGAGCCAAAACTTAATTGTTAGGTGTGGCAAGGTGTTGGGCTAATCAATATTTCATCTTGATTTTTTTTTCCTTTCTTCTCCCTCCCCCCTGTCTCTGTCCCCTTGTAGCAACAATGGTGGTGATCAAGCTGGATGGCCCACCCCAGCTGTGTAAGGCTGATGAGGTTGGTGAGCTGTGTGTCAGCTCTGGGTACACAGGATCCAATTACTGGGGGCTGCATGGCATTACACAAACCACATTTCAGGTATATGTTTTGTGTCTTTTGGGGAATGTAATGATTTTTTTTTTATAACTGCTAGTTGGAGAACTTTTTTTATTTTACTCCTGGTAGCACAGTTAGGGGTCAGGGGTGATTAGGTTTTGAGTTGCATCAGGATTAGTGTTAGTGTAGTGATACAATCCAAGTAAAATACTCAAACTTCATAAAAGTATTTAAATAGTTTCCATCATAGTAAAATATTTTATTCTAAAAAGTAGGTACAATTGTATACAATACTTATTCTGACTAGTCTATGCCTTTTTTTTAGCAAACTCATTTATTTATTTAGTGTTTCCAATAATTCATTAAAATTCCCTCCCCCCCCCTTCAAACCATCAATATATCCACCTTATGAATAGTTATATAGTGTTTCTGTAGCTACACTTTAATTTTAGGGTTTTATTTTGCATAGCATAGGGTTTCAGTTGCTAGATTTCTTGAAAGTTAACTCTCTAAAAATATGTATGCTCTTACACTTGTAGTATATTTATATATAAATAATGTAACAGAAAGTTAAGATTTTTATCAGTTGTTTTGATTGTTTGTTTTAGGTTCAACCAATTTTAGAAGATGGCCGCATACAAACAGACCGTTCATATGTGCGGACAGGTCTGATTGGATTCTTAGGACCAGTATGTACATTGTTTTACTAATATTTTATGGCATGTTGGTTTATTTATATTGAAATAATTTTCTTTTACATTTAAGAAACAAGCTGAAACATTTAGATCCATGTGAGCATTGGATTGTGTTGTTAAAATTTTTTTTTTTATTCATAAGCTTCAGTGGTGTATTAGCTAAGTTTGTAAAGCTAACCAATATGACTCTTTCCTCTAGGGTGGTTTAGTGTTTGTGTGTGGCAGCAAGGAAGGCTTGATGCAGATCTCTGGTAGAAAACACAACACTGATGATATTATTGCCACAGTCCTGGCTGTTGAGCCTATGAAGTTTATTTACAGAGGAAGGTAAAGGCATTGGACCAGAATAGCCTGGACTACATCTTTAATTATGCTGCATGTTTACAGCAATAGTATCACAATGTGGGGTAACCTGTTGCTGTATTCAATCTACCTCTGTATTGCTTTTATGAATTAACAGAAAATATAAAAATAAAATTTGGTGCTTCAAAATTTTAAGGCAGACCAAGCCCCTGTCTCAAGTATGAAACATGTACTCAAATCTGTCAGACATTCTGAGACCTCCCAGCTCTGATGGGTACCTGACTCAAATTAGGAAAAACTAAGGCGTCTCATATCTCAGGCACTATCCCTTTTTATGCCCTGTCTTGGGCAGTGAAAAGAAAAGCTGCTGATAAATCTAAAAATCATTTCAATACTTAAACAGTTGATAGATATTGAAATATTACCAACAATTCACGCTTATAATTTGGATCACCATAAAAATCTACCTTTTAACTTTTTGTCATTGTGATGCTAAGTTGTGAGGTAGTTTGTTCATGAAATTGTCTTTAAATCACTTACCATGCCATCTGGTAACAGGATGTATTACAATCTTATTTACAGGATCGCTGTCTTCTCCATCAAGGTGCTCAAGGATGAGAGGATAGTGATTATAGCCGAGCAGAGACCAGACTGTACAGAGGAAGAGGTATTCATAACATTTATCACCAAAATTTGTGGAATCTTTATTTTCTGTTTTCTTATTGAATTTTTTCTCTACTATTATCACTTATTAATGGAGACATGTTGAAATTAGATTTTTATGTTGATCCATTTTTATAGAGGAGTTTTTCTGTATTTTTAGTATCATATTGGATTTGATAAAACTTTAAAAACTAAAATGTATTTTTTATAGAACATTAATTATTATGTGACAAAACATCAATTTATGAATTAAATTTTTTATAATGTCTGCAATTAATGTAATGATAAATCATATATTAGTTTTTCTGAAGTTTAAATTTCTTTTATGGTTTTAATCTAGCATTAGCTTTAGTACAATTGTTAGTAACACATTGATTTATAAAATAGGCTCTTTAAATGACAGTTGCGCATCATTGTATTGTATTGGGGTTTTTCTGCTAGTATTGCACTGGTTAGAGTCAAGGTTAATGTTAGGGGTGCAATATTGGTATAAGAAAAGTTATTTTTACAGTACCAATATTGCAAAAACCTTATAAAATAAGATGTATTTGTGGTATAAATGAGTTTTCTAAATTTTCTCAGAGCTTCCAGTGGATGAGTCGAGTGCTTCAAGCTGTGGACAGCATCCATCAAGTGGGGGTCTATTGCTTAGCTCTAGTCCCACCCAACTATTTACCCAAGGTAATTTGGTCACTGCAGCTTAGTAATCTTCTCTTTCAACACACATTGTTTTTGTTTTAGAACTTCTACTTGCCATTTATTTACAACACAGTTAAACTGTCTTTACGTCTGTTTTCCAGACGCCTTTGGGGGGTATCCATCTCCACGACACCAAGAAAAAATTCCTGGAAGGCTCACTTCACCCTGCTAATGTGTTGATGTGTCCACACACCTGTGTCACCAACCTACCAAAGCCTAGAGAAATTCATCCAGGTGAGCTTAACACTTTATTAACTCTGTCTATTATAGTCACAGTTATATTATCATGCACCCTTATTGTCAATGGTGGAATGTAAAAAATACTAAAGCAAATGTTTTGTTCAAAGATGTGAAGCCATCAGCTGTGCATGTTGGCAATATCGTGCAAGGTGCCCGTATGGCATGGGCACAGGGACGTGATTTGGGGATATCTGATGACGATACCGACTCGACTAAAAAGGTAATTGTGGAATTAAATAACTCAAATAAATGCTTTGTAATGTCTGTTTATTAACTTATATCCCACCAATAAGCTTATCTTTTATTTTTATGTAATTAGTGTACTTGAACAGTTTACTTGAATCTTAAATGAGCTTAAAGTTCAAAGCGTAGGAGCTTTTTTAACCTGTGTAAAATGTTGATCCCTCTAGCACCAGTTTTTGACAGAGATTCTCAGATGGAGAGCTCTTACAACACCTGACCACATTCTTTATACCATGCTCAACTCTAGGGTAAGTTTGTGATGTGAATTTTTTAAGTCAGTTGTATTCATTTTCACTAAATAAATTCTATAGAAAATTTTATTATTAAAAATAGTAAGAAATAGTAAGACATTGCAGGATTCTGTTCTTTATTTAATTATTTCCATTTTGATTATTTGTACTTATAGAATTTTTTCTAGCTATGTATTTCTATTATATTCACATATTGTGAAAGAATTTTTAACTAGATCTTCATTTGTACATGTTTGTTATTAAGTCTCTTATTTTAAAATAACAGAATCAAGCTTCAGCTACCTACACTTGTTCACAACTACACAAAAGGGCTGAGAAAATTGGCTGTCTTTTGATGGAAAAGGGCAAGCTCAATACTGGTGATCATGTAGCCCTTGTTTTTCATCCTGGTAAGTTTTAGACTGGTCTATAAACTGTTTGTAGGTTCGATTGATTTCTGTAAAAACTAATTTTAATTTTGTTAAATGAAGTCAGTAAAAATTTACATTGAATCTGGTTTGTACATATTTGTATCAAGATAAATCTAAAACTATAGTCTTAACCAAGCTTTGATTAATGTATAGAGAAAAGTTTTAATAAACAAAAAAGAAATGCTGGTTTACAATAGCATAAACAATTTTTATTTGTATATGAAAGTATATTAAATTTTTAAAATCTTTTTTTTTACAGGTGTTGAGTTAGTGTCTGCATTCTATGGATGCTTGTATGTAGGTAAGGATCTTTAACTTGTTGCCACTCTTCACATACATGACACTGTTGGAATATGTCAGTATTGTTATAGTTTCATGTCAGTATGTTAAAATCAGAAAAGTTTTGCCACTGTACAGTGTGGGTTGACACATGCTTTATCTCCGTAGGTTGTGTCCCTGTGACCATTCGACCACCCCACCCACAGAATGTTTCCTCAACACTTCCAACTGTCCGCATGATAGTTGAGGTCAGCAAGTCTGTGGCCATCCTCACCAATAGTGCGACTATCAAGTTGTTAAAGTCTAAGGTGAGACAGGTTGTCTGTTAAAGTGTCATACAGAAAAGTGTCATACAGATTATATAAGATGCAGCTTTTGCAAGTCTTAACATAAATTTCAGAGCAATCAGCTCTAATTAGTACCTAACATTAGTTCATCATCATCATCTTTTCCTGTTTGTGCTCAAGACACATGGGGCAGATCAAGTGAGCTGATATTTATCAATGACCTTGGAATACAAGGGGATAGTGGGGTCAGCACTATTCCTAACTGCCCTTGTTTTCTTAATGTGAGTTAGGTACCCATAAGAGCTGGTGGACTCAAGGATGCCCTACAGACTTCAGTCTGGGATTCGAACTCAAGATTTTTGAGTTAGCAATCTAGAGCTCTCCCTCTCTGCCATGCCATCACCCACCCAACATTAGTCCGTAGGAAATAAGGGCAGATGGTGGAATGCTAGCCCTTCAATTTCTCACAGTATGTCCTGTCTCTAAAACATAAACCAAAATATTCCAAAGTTTAAGCTTACAGCAGACAGTTGGTGACATAAAATTGTGCAGAATTCTATTGCTTTCATGGAAAGAAAAAAAACTTTTACTTTTAATAAGCTGTGTATTCCCATCTCTCAGGCTTTTTTTTGTAATACACGATTTTAAAATATCTGATCCAGCAATCTCTAGTTGTTGAGTTTTCTACTCTTATAGCTAAAAAAAAACATTTTATTTCTGATTTCCAGGAGGCGTCTGTAATAGTTGATTCTAAAACCTGGACAAACCTGCTAGACACAGACGACCTTCCTAAAAGAAAACTGGCAGCCATCTACAGGGCACCAACACCAGAGATGATCTGTTACCTGGACTTCAGTGTTTCCACCACTGGCATGTTGGCAGGTGTTAAGGTAGGTTGGGGACATTGGCATGGGCATTCTAGTCTACACATGGGCAGGTTTCTTGTATTATAAACAAAGTTAGAAATAAAACTGGCACTGTTTATATGTACACGTGATTGTTATTGTCAACACAATGACACGCCTTTAATGGGTAATCTAGGGTGTCGCTCAACATATAAGATGGACCACCAACGGGTTACAAAACACAAGACTAAGTAAAACAAGCTTGTTACAAAATTATTCTAAAAGTTTAATAGCTATTTACACACAGATAAGCAAAGTCAGTTCTAATTCAGTGACACAAAAGAGTACCCAAATCTAGGATATAGTGGCTACTATACAGAACATAAGTGCCCACAAACCTGCTCACATGAAATTACTGGACTGAGGACTCCAACCACACTGTCAAATTCCTTTTATACCAATGCAAAAAAAAACAAGCTGGGGAATGATGTAACAACACTGCTCATAGAATGAGACAGATTACTACATACAAACAACATACACACATTCATCCCCCACCCCCTTCACTGCTCACTACACTTGTGCAGTATAATTAACTTAAGTATACTAGGTACCTCTATGTCCACTGTCAATATTGAATTGAGAGTTTTTTAAAAAATACTCCGTGTAATAATTAAGCTCAATATATTGGGCAAGGGTAGTACTAAAGAAATGTGTAGGAAAGTATCTTAGATACACCCTGCTCTCTACTCCTTTCATGTTTTGCTCCCCACCCCAATCGTTAAAGCAAGTAGTTCTCTCACCAAATGATTGACTGAATGATTACCTCTGTGCAGATGTCCCACTCCTTTCTTGTTTTGCTCCCCACCCCAATCATTAAAGCAAGTAGTTCTCTCACCAAATGATTGACTGAATGATTACCTCTGTACAGATGTCCCACGCATCAGCTACAGCTCTCTGCAGGGCCCAGAAACTACAGTGTGAGCTTTACCCTTCTAGAGATGTGGCACTGTGTCTGGATCCCTACAGCGGCCTGGGTTTTGTGCTTTGGTGTCTTAGCAGGTTTGTTAACCTAGGGGGTTATATCATGCTGGGTCTGTGTTAGCAAGGGTGTCAAAAGTTAACGTAAACATGTTTTATTTCTTCAGTATCTACTCTGGTTATCTACGTTAGTATCTGCTCTATGTTCTATGTTAGCATGTTGTTGTAAGGTGTGTAAAGCTAATGTAAATTTGTTTCTGAAGTATCTACTCTGGTTATCATTCAATATGTTTTTAGTTAGCAGGTTGTAGGGTGTGTAAAGCTAATGTAAATTTGTTTCTGAAGTATCTACTCTGGTTATCATTCAATATGTTTTTAGTTAGCTTGTTGTAGGGTGTGTAAAGCTAATGTAAATTTGTTTTGTTTCTGCAGTATCTACTCTGGCCACCACTCCATACTGATTCCTCCCACAGAAGTAGAGCTCAACCCTGCTGTTTGGTTAACAGCTGTTAGCCAATTTAAAGGTAACAACCATATTCTTCCTACATCAAGTTTGATCTGTTTATATAACAATTAAAACCTGGCCAACTAAATTATCTGTATTTTTTTTTTAGTTCGAGATACATTCTGTTCCTATGGAGTTATGGAACTTTGTACAAGAGGTCTTGGAACATCCACCGCCTCTTTGAAGGTAATTATCTTTTTTTTTAAAATAATGTTACTTTCTTGTTTTGAGGGTATTACACACTGTTAGACTTTAAGGCACTGAGCGTAGGTGAAGTAGAGTTAATATAAATGTGGCCACATGGTATCCAGAATACAGTTGTGTCAGCAAAATTCTCCTTATCCAAAAGCTGATTTCAATAATTTATATGGTGATTACCTTTGTAACTTAAAAATAAAGTAATAGAGTTTGATATATCTGTTAGAGATGGCTGGGTATGAGCTATGCAGACAATATTTTTTTAAAGTTCTAGAAATATTGGTATAAAATTATTACATCAGAGTATGTTTTTTATGACTCCATCTACTAAAGAAGTAAAATTCTACTTTTAAAATCAATTAAATACTTCTATTTCCTAAATCTTGACAAATAAAACTTTTATTTCCTTATGCTAAAGCTAAATTTTTATTTTTCCCTTTAGGCTAAAGGTATCAACTTATCTTGTGTCCGTGCTTGCTGTGTGATAGCAGAAGAGAGGCCAAGGATATTGTTGACCACCTCCTTCACAAAGTTGTTTGCTGGCCTGGGCTTGAGTCCTAGAGCAGTCAGCACCAGCTTTGGTTGTAGAGTCAATGTGGGCATTTGCTTACAGGTGAGGCCTTACTCGATAACTACCATAGTCGTCCCATTACATTATTATATTAGTTACATCTAGACTGTCTAAAAATAAGACATCAAAATAGTGAAATAACAGTGTTGGTGCGGTCAGGTCAATAATGCTCATGAATTGATTGCTAAACCGATAAATCACAAGTTGGAAATTCCAGGTGGCAACAACACATTTAGGAAAGAAAACTCCAAATTAAAGCAATTGCTGCCTTATAGTTTGTTCTTGGTTGGCCAAAGGCTAACGAAGCTAATCCAAAAAAGAAAAGCAGGCTGAAATGGGAGTCAACAGTCTAAATGGTGCATAATAGATTGACATGTAATACTTGTGCTTGAGCAAATCTTGTCCAACATTACAATTAAGAACGAAGAAGATTTAATTATAATCAAATAGCAATGGAGCATCTTTTTTATTCTATTTTTTTCTATTAAGCAATTTAGCTAGAGCTAAGTAATTAAATGAAATGCTAGACAAAGTAGATTTGATTTTGTTCGTTTGTTATATTTGAATCCAAATTTTGTTCCAGGGAGCTTCGTGCCCTGAGACTACCACAGTATATGTGGACATGAGAGCACTGAGGAATGATAGGGTAACACTGGTGGAGAAGGGAAGCCCACATTCATTGTGTCTACTGGAGTCTGGGAAAGTGAGCTCATCTTTCCCTTCTTTAACATAGTGTTATACTTGTGTCTATGTAGAACTAACTTCTTTTATTGCTTGGTTTTACTGAACTGACAAGAAAAATAAAAATTGAATTTTTTCACACTCTCATCAGCTCTTACCTGGGGTCAAGGTTGCCATCGCCAACCCTGAGACAAAAGGCCAGTGTGCTGACTCCCACCTTGGTGAGGTAAGTGTCAGCTAGATCACAGGTATGAGGTGTTATAGATACCACTGTAGAGGGCAGAGACATGGAGAAATAGTATGAGAAATAGTTGACATTTGACATGTTTAAATCAGATGGGAAATAAGTTTTTGTTTTTTTCATTTTAACTGGAAGTTTTCTCCAAATTAAGTAAAATTAGGAGCTATGTCAAATGAATGAATTGATAATGTGAACACTAAAAAAATGTATGAAGTGATGCTATTTGCCTTTTTTTTAGCTTGCAATTTTTTATGGAAATAAAAGTATGCTATTTGGACTTTCGCTGTCTATTATCCTGAATGTTGCTTTTATTTACAATTTTAATATTTTGGTTAAAAAAAAAATGCAAATGGTAATTAAAAAAAAATTGAACAGGTGTAAAGTACATTGAGGTTTACAAGATTATGTATTACATTTTGATGGTATAATTTTCTGCTGTTAAGAGAAGCAGTACTACAACTGATCAGTAACTAAATCTAACCTAGTTATATGTTGCCAATTAAACAGTACCCATTAACACTTGCCTTAATGAATGGCACATTGTATTCTCTTGTTTGATCAGATCTGGGTTAGCAGTCCACACAATGCCAATGGCTACTTCACCATCTATGGAGATGAGTCTCTACACCATGACCACTTTGACTCTCAGCTTGCCACAGGGGACATACATACAAGCTACGCCCGTACTGGTTTCTTAGGATTTATACGTCGCACTGAACTCACCCAATCAGATGGGGGTTAGTTTTTCTCTTTTTTGGTACATTCATACATAAATATGGTCTAGATTTATATTTTCTTTGATGATACATGATAAATTGTATTCAATTAGAGATATAAAAAATATTTTTTTACTCTTTAGAGCGTCATGATGCTATTTTTGTCGTGGGGGCATTGGATGAAACAATGATGCTGAGGGGGATGCGCTACCATCCAATTGATATTGAGATGACAGTGCAGAGGTCACATCGCAAGATTTGTGAATGGTACAAAATATTTCATATCTGATTCTCAGCATAACAACCTTAGCTTAAGTGTTATTTTAAAAATTCCCTGCTAATGACAAGTCAAATTGCAGAAATATAAAAATTAATAAAGATTATCAATCACTTTGTAATAAGATGGTTTAGTATCTACTTAGTTTTACTTGGTATCAGACATGTTTACAAGCCAGAAACACAAACTTGACCAAGTTGTTAGGGGTCATCCATTTATGATGTCCATACGTGGGGGGAGGGGGGTCTGAAAAAAAACTGACTTGTGGACGCATATGGACTGTTATAAGGATTTGGGGGGGGGGGGGGGGGGTCCAAAATCCAAAAAAATTGTGGACTTCATAAATGGATGACCCCTTATGATAGGTCTGTACTGAGACCCTAAACATTAGTCATTACCCAATCAGGCCATTAATTTAATTAAATCACCAACAGGATTTATAAATTCCATGGGACTTGTAAATATTTATAAAAAAGATACGGAAAATACTGTTTTAGAACTGATTTAACGGCTATTTTATTACTATGCAAGGTGTGTGTAAGACTTGTCTTGTATGTTTCAGCGCTGTATTCACGTGGACCAACCTACTGGTGGTGGTAGTAGAGCTGGACGGTAATGAAAACGAGGCGCTGGACCTTGTTCCACTGGTCACTAATGTTGTTTTAGAAGAGCATTACCTGATAGTGGGTGTTGTTGTGGTCGTCGACCCAGGGGTCATCCCCATCAATTCCAGAGGAGAGAAGCAAAGGATGCATCTGCGTGACGGCTTCTTGGCTGACCAGCTTGACCCTATATATGTAGCTTATAATATGTAATAGCACTGGCCGTCTTGAACCTATACATGTGCTTATAATATGTAAAGAACACTGACATAACTGGCCATCCTGATGCTATATGTAAACACACATCCGTTTGAAAACATTGACAAGCTAGATCCTCATTATATATGTAACACATATATATATACTTATAATATGTGAAAACGGTGTTGACATAAACAGCTGAACTTGAGTTTACATTATGTGAATATGTATACTGATCCGTATAGTTTTTACTAGGCCATGAGTTGAACAGCGTGCCAATTTGTACATTTTTTATTTTTTGAAGATCAAGCTCATTAGATCCATTAACATTAAAGCCATGAAAAATTACTCACAATTTAAAAATTAATTATGTAAACATTTATTTTCAAAGAAGAGGGATCCCATGATTTTTTTAATTAATGTTGTGTCTAAAGATTATTTAATTAGTAGTAGTTTTTGATTGCTATTATTGTATTATCATTAAAATATATAAAGATTAAAAAGTAATTTTATAATGCTGAGGTATTTGTCAAATGATGATTTGTAAATGTAAGTCAAGTTAATGTTTAATCTACATTAGCTAGCACCACTGTAACATTAATTTATGATGAGTTACTTACTTTTTTTTATATTATAGAACAAATATCTTACTGAAAGAGATTTCAAGTAAATTACCACGATCCCTGCTAATATAAATAACAAAGAACTTTTGTTTTTAGCTACAAAATTAGTTGTGGAGTGTGTACATTTTTTACATGTTAACTAGCTCAAATAGAGTAGGTTTAATAAAGACTGGTTTAATTGACAGCTTTCCTCAGGAGAAAATTAAATTTTTAAGCTTAGTACATCACAATTTCTTCTCTTTTTCAACATCTACACAATACCCTGTTAACTTGCTACACAACACCTACCCCACACACACTATCCTATTTCAACTGTACACATTATCCTATAACAGCTCGGTACACTTTTTAAGCACCAGCACAACACGAAACTTTGTACACTCCCCCAACTTCCATCCATCATTTATTAAAAAACTTGTTAGCTGATCTCATTTTTTTAAAAAGTTTCCAAATCCCCTCACGTCTGTGTTTGATCTAAGCTACACTTAACTTTACATCCTGTGTTTCACAACAGAAGAGTATGAATCCTGAGTTAGCTGACTTTTATTTTAACCTAAGCAATAACATTCTTTTACACCACTGTGGTTTTGTTTTAAAGGACCACCTTTATCAATTCTCTTGTCCATGTTATTGTTTACAATTTTTTTTTTTTAAAAATCGCATGGATTTTTTTTTCTGTGATTAAATGTTTTGTTTTGCTTGTATATAGCTGGAGTATCTCGACATAATGTATGGAATAGAACTTTTGTACGCTCATGATTGTTGGAAAGCATTTTGTTCATATGTATGATTGTTGATTTTTTTTTTTTAATCAGCACACATTATGTACATAAAATTTAGTTGTTCATGATCAATTTAATGTACCTGTACATAATTTTAACAAAAAAAAATTTTTTTTTGCATTTCCTTACTGCAAAGAATGATAATTGTATGTGTTTTCACATACTCGTGTTTAATAAATGACCCATTCTTAACTGGATGTATTTTTAATAAATTTTATTAAAATCTCATTAAAATTCTTCAGATGATGTAATTGTGTGATTCAAGTAACTAAGGTCATCAATAATAAATCATGTTGATCACCCATCTAGTTTTGTTTATAAGATCTTAACACTTATCTAAGAAGATACCAAAATATCATTCTTGCCTTATATAAGGCATGTCATTTGTATCTATAAAAATACTTTGCTAAATGTTTTTTAAATTAATGAATCGCTAGTAATTAATTGTTGCTTGAATTATTTATAAGCTTAGGGTTGGGATGCTTGAAAAGATGACAAAAGTCTTGAACTTTCTTTTTAGACAAAAAAAGCACAAGAAAGAGTTCAAATTTGCCTTTTTGGGACTCAACCATTTTTTCTTGTTTTTCCCAACCAATGCAAAAAAAGCTTTGCAAATAAAATTGTAACAAGGGAAAAAAGTCTTTTTTGTAAATATTAGGTAGATGAAAGGAAGATATGCAAACTTGTGTTAAAAAAAATCTATGTGTCTGTCTCCGTTCACAGCTGAGCTATAACCTCTGATTTTTCTCACTGCAGGCACACAAACATAAACACTGGCTTATCTTTCCCTAACAGCATTTACTTATCAATGTATTTTTTTTCTTTCATTCAGTTTTAAACTCACATTGCCTTTCTGTATCCTAGCAGTATTATTCTACTGGAAAGAAAAATATGTATACACTGGCACAAAAAAGGGTTTGCCTATTTTTCTCGTAGTCTGTGTGATAATTGTTTATTCAGGTATTGACAAAACAGAAACTAGATCTCCTTTTTCCAGTTGTCTGAGGTACAAAAATAAAAGTTCTTATGAACTAAAGAACCAGACTTTTGTGCAGTTAAATAAATTACTGTTACCACCGCTTTTTTTATTTTCTAAAGAATACATTCACAATCACATTATACTTACTTTAAAAAACAGTTGCCGTTCTTTTTCTTTACTTAAAAACCAATATTACTTTTTTACACAATTTTTAATCTTCCTCATTTTTTTTCTGGCAGCTTATTGGAAGCTTGATCACATGTATTATTTTAAGCCAATGAGCTAGAAATATTCTGTAAAAGAATTTTTTTTTCTACATTTTATCAGCACACATTAAAATAACTATGTTAGTCTTAATGAGACAAGTTTATTCATACATTTCTAATCAAATCAAAAACAGAAATTCTACTAAGGCTTTGTCTCTGAAACTATATAAGGCACTTCCGTCATTCTATATGTTGTATGTTTGTACAAAAAAAAATCATGTGAAGAAACTGTCACATAGTGCTGTCATATGTGTTTTAAATTATGTAAATACAGAAACTCTGTCTGCCTTTGGAGCTTGTTTACTTCAGTTTTGTTTATTATATTTTTACAGCAAAAATAGACTGAAGTGGTCATATTTGTATTAGTGTAACAATTTTAATTCTATAGTCCAAATCTTCAAATACAAGACTTTTTTGATCAATAAACATCTTCCTGCAGTTCCACTGCCATATCAGTTTTAAAAATTTGCTTAGTTTTGCTTTTCTGATTTTTTTTCTTTTAGATTAATTTTGTTTTCTATTTTTACATGAAAAAAAGTTTATTATTCTAGATTAAATTTAAAATCTTTTTGTTTATAAGTTTAAAAAAATTATTTTCGGTGAATTTTGCAGAATTGACCAGACACACTGTGCAATATATTCAACTGGTGAAATTTATTTCTTATTAAATAGCAACATGAAAATAGGAGAAAGAATTCATGTAAAATAAGGGATGTAATCAAGGCTTGTAATTTATTAGGGTTTAACCTAAAGAGAAAAATTGACAATTTATAAAAAAAAGAATCTTTTATTCTGCTTAATTCATTTAAAATGTTTCTTTTTTTTTTGTGTTTGTTTATTTATAAGTGTACATAGCAGGCTATTATTGAATGAAAGTAAATTAAAATATGTTGTGCCAGGTTGTAACATTGTTTGTGGTTACCATTGACAACCAATGGAAGGTGTAGTATCTATAGCAGCATGCTAGTCTTAACATGAGAGATTGGACATTTGACATAACATTTGTAGAGAGATAAAAAAACCTTTCAGAACAGCATGCATGTGGTATGTTTTGTTTTTACTGGACATGAAGTAAACCATAATATAAAAAAAAACTATTGTACTAAATGCATGCTCGCTAAGAAGGGTAACAATTAATATTGTGATGTCGTTTCTTTCCTTCTGATTCATATGTGTAGATATTTTTTTTAGCAAGCTTAAGTGTGAGGAAGTGATGGCTTGTTAGTTATGATATTCCAATCGTACCTTGGTCTGTATCTCTACATAGCATAACTCTAATACTAGCTTATTTATTCAGCCCAGATTGAGTTTGCTTTGGGTTTTTTTTTTTTTTTTTTTTTTTTACTTTTGATTCTGTACCATTATTGAAAAAAAAATTCACAAGTCAATTTTAAAAATTTATTTCACTTATGTTTCTGAACCTATATTTATGATTAATTTATTAAAATTATGTATTACTTGACAATCTTGTCTTATAGAAGAAAACATTTTTGCCTTGTTTTATTGATCTTATGTCTGGTAGGTACATTTTTGCATGTGGTTTGTGGTTTTTTTTTTTAAAAAACATAGTTTGAATGAAGGCATTATGAATTGCTACAATTTTTTTACATTATGGAATTTAGACTGTTCTCTTCATAATATGAATACTTGAATAAATCTGTTTTTAAACAAAGTTTGTGTCCATGCTAGTTATTATGTTTAATAGTGTGTGATTTTGACAAAACTGGAATCATTAAAAAAAAGGTGTATAGCGATTGCTAAAGGTGGCCCTATTTGAGAGCGATTTGTACCTTCTTTTCTTCGGTTGAAAAGCAAGTTTCATTCTAATATTATTTAAGTTAATTCAGGAAAATTGAACTTGAGATTGGGGTAGTTTATTCCTACAGAAGACAAATTTTCATAATCATGTTCCCTTTCGTTCCTTGCGGAGCATAGGGACTCTGTTAAAACATTCCACTCTCCACTCACTCTTTTTCAGCTGTTCCCAGTTCCTTCCTATCCTTTCAGCCTCCTCCAGCATGCTACGTCACCATGTCTTCCTGGGTCGATCTCAGCTTCGCTTGCCCCAGAGGTTCCACTCCAGCCTTTTCTGGCTCTATTGCCAGTGTCCTTCCTAAGCATGGGACCGATATATTTAATATTAATATATATATATATATATATATATATATATATATATATATATATATATATATATATATATATAAAATTAATATTTAATATATATAATAAAACCAGTTTCTTCCAGGTATCTCTTGGGAAGGGGGGAGGCCTCGTAAAGTCATTCCTAAAGCGATAGATAACAATATTCAATAAAAGAATTATATATATTTCTCATTGAGACGGTGCTGTTAGAGAGAATTGCCAATGACTGCTAGCCTGAAAGGACGCAATTGAACTACACTATCCTCGGTATATATATAAAGTATGAGGGGGGGGGGGGTGCAAATCGAATGTTTGAGGGGGGGTGCAAATCGAAAGTTTGTCCCCGGGTAAAAATTGGAACCCCCCCCCCCCCCCCCCCTTGAGACGATCCTGGCTACGCCACTGACACTATCCCATTATATGTTTTTAAAAAAATCTACTTCATCTGCCACATGGACCACTGGAGTTGAAAGGTTAACCATTATTTATTTTTTTTATAAATAATCATTAAGAAATGCATTCCCGTTTGTAATTGATCTACAACACGTTTTATCTCAACGTATACTTTTACACCTGACATCAAATTTAGCTCCCTTCGCCTCATTTAATGGTACAATTTTCATTAATTCATACGATTCATTGCTACCTGTGTTAAGAATAGTTAAGATTTACTAAAATAATGACCGCTTTGCCCCATACTCATAGATAAGGCCTACCTGTAAACTGTAAACCATTGATAAAAAGGGAGATAACTAAATATTACGCATCCACGGGGGACTTTAATCGCATTGGGTTGCGTGCCCATGATAACAGGTCGGCTTTCTAAGGGACGTAAATCACATGAGCTTGACAGAAACTGCGTTCGGTTTACTATTTTGTGAATCACATCCGCTCCCAAAACACCTTTTTTAAAAAAAAATATCTTGTGAAGATACGACGTGGGGAATTCTAATGACGCACGTAGATTTTGTATTTTGATACATAGCTATTTATAATTTTATAAGTGGGTTTGTTTATAATTTTTAAAAATCGTGTTTTAAATTAATAATTAGCAAATCGTAAGAATACGCCTAAACCTTTCAGTAACTACTACCTAAGGGGGTCGTCCATATATGACGTCACACTTGTAGGGGGAAGAGGGGGTCCGTAATTTGGTAACGGTGTGTGATGTTGGAGGGGGGGGGAGGCGATGGTCAGATGGTGTGACGTTACACTTTTGCATTATAAAAAAGCAATGTTAGAAAACGAATTTTAGCCGTTATTTCGCGTTTTAGATAACGGTTTTTAATGAATTGTAATAGGAATTGACGTTATTTTAAGGGGATGTTCTGGCTTTTTGTGACGATGTGTGACGGAGGTGGGGCTGGGGGGTGGGGGAGGAGGGAAATCGTACAAAAAAAGCGTGACGTCATTTATGGATGACCCCCTAAATTGTATTTATCATTTTAATGAAATTAAAAAAAAATTAACATTGATACGTTGGGTGGTAACATTTTTAAGAGTCAAAATAATCTTCCATGCTTAGCTTTGTTAAGTGGACGCTTTTTTTAATAATTATTTTTCATTTTAAGAAGCGACGTGAAATATTAAAAAAAAACAGGAACGGAGCTTTTTTAGACACGAGTGAAGGAATGACGTAATAACTTTCCCCACACATGGCAACTACAATTCTAACGAAAATAATCCTGTTTCTCATCGTTTCTTTTTAAAGCACATAATGGCCCAGCTTAATATAAATCTTATACCACACCCCTCCCCAAATCAGGTGTGTGACTTCATTTACGATTTCCCCTAAGTATGACGAATTTCGTGGAAATTTGTCGAGCAGTGAATTTATGGATAAAAATTTGTCTAAAACAAATAATTTGTACATGGAAAAAAATATTTTGAATTTTTTTTATAAATTGTCAGACAATGAGATTTTGAAGAAGAATTTTAGCTTAATCGTTAGTTGTTTTGTTTTTTTTTAATTTGTAAAATCTAATCATGTGTTTCAAATGTTACTAGCCAATTTTTCTAATTTAAATTAATTCTTGAAAAACAAAATGGACCCATGTCTGTATTTTCAATAGCAAAATAAATAACTAATTTTAAAAAAAAATAATCCCACAGCATATGCGCATGTGGATAAACCTACACGTACACCAGGCAGGAAATGCACGCACGGCAAAGGATAAGACATAACGTCAAGATAAGATGTGCAGGGAGCGACCGAGAAAAGGTAGACAACACCACGACGTATTTTAGCATCTTGCCGGCTAGGGTTATCTCCTTCAACCGTTATTTACCTGCCCTTACATACGTTCTATAGGCGTAAACATGTTTCGTATTGAGTCTAAATTCTTGTATCTAGAAAGAATAAATTTCTGAAAGATAAATTTTAAGAAAATGTCATATTCATAGAAAACGCTCGTCCTTGAAAAATAGTTAATCTTAAAAAATAAAAATTTGACACAATTTTAATGACATACGTATGTTACATGAACTGCAAGATCAGCTGAGCCATTAATTGGTTTAAAAAATACGATCATAGATCATTCTAATCATAGAATAACGGCTTGGAGTATTTCCTTACACTTTCAAATATTGTTTCATACTGGAAAAACATGTATCAGTAGAAAAAAAAACTAGATATATGTTACAACGAGACTGAACATGGATTCGAAATTCTGAGAGATAACCATTACACCATGGAACCTTTACTGCTTCGTCTGAAGGTTAGATTCCGTTTGTATAATTATATATCAAAACAAAATTGGAGTAAGAAAATTAACATTCAATAGGTTTTTTTTTATTAGTCATTGGAAGCGAAAGAAACGAAAACTAAACACTATTGTTTTTGAAGAACAAGCGTTTTACAGTAAAACTATTTTTCTGTGTTCTGCTTCTGCAACAGATAGGAAAATGTAAGCGTATAACTGTTGCTAATGGTTACGTAGAAATTTTGGAATTTTAGTTTTCTTAAGGTAATACTCATTTATGTACAGATATCTGTTTTTTGTGTGTATATATTTGATTTTTTTATCAATCCCATTACTTTAATAAGTAAGTATATATTAAGCATAGTTAGGTTAGAATAAAAGTGATATAAGAGACAATTGAGCAAACGGCATACTCTTATAGGTGAAATATGAAAATTGTAAATAGTTGGACTTTAGGAAGGCCAAAATTCATATCCACGCGTTTTAAGCTATTCCTATGCATGCAGATGAAAAATGACACTTGGCAAGAATATAATACAATGGATAAATATATTACTTGTATTAGCTAAATTAATAGATTTAATCTTCAACAATTCAATCCACAGAAGCAAAGTAAATGAATTTCATTTACATGTAAAAATGTTGAAAAACTAAGGTTCCACCGAGACTTGAACTCGGATCGCTGGATTCAGAGTCCAGAGTGCTAACCATTACACCATGGAACCTGCGTCACGGTTAAGCGGTTGTATACACATGTTGTCTCATATTTAGTCGGAAATAGCATGCGCTTTTCTCGCTTTTTCTGCCCCTGAAACAGAGTGAATGTACACATAGTTAAAATGAATGTTGAGTCATTCACATATTTAATTTATCGTCATCATAATACAACATCAAGCTATTATATTTAATTTCTGATTTAGATTTAAATTGTTTATCCTTTGCTGCCCACCTTATAATAACGTTTAGAGCTAGGCGACTGTTTATTAGAGTATGACAAAGTTGAAGGTAGTCTTACTAGTAAAAAAACAATTAGGTTCATCGGATGATAGTTTGTCATTACCATCATAAAATAACAACATTTTTTTCATATGCTCTGTTAAAGAAAGAAATGCTAGCAGAGTCAATTATTATTTGACATTGTTTTCCATTTAATTTTTCTAGCCCTCGTACAACTTCACACCTGCTCCGTTTATTTAGAAACAAGACATAGACGATTGCTTTTTCACTTGTCTTCTATTTTCCCTCTCAGTTTACACGGGCTGGGGACCGTCACAGAGTACATAGTACCGTGTGGCCTGATTAAAAATATGGAAGACAGTGTTGGTCATTTACTGTCTCCCCCACTCGTTCATACCTTTGCAACCAGATGTCTCGCAAGATGAAAGAGAGAGAAAAAAAAAACAATATAATTAATAAGCAGAAAAGTATTTAAAGTCATTATTTACTAAAGTGAAGGGTAACAATTCATTTCTATGTTTCTAAATATTTTACCTTGTAATTGCAAAATATAGTGCTAGATAAATCTAATAGCAAAAAAGAATTAAAGTGCAGAAAAGATTAACGGTAAATAAAAAGTGCAAATAAATATTGACTTACATTTTTGTGTGTCTAATTTCAAAACCTCAAGAGTACCTGGATCTTACAAGCCATTACCATAAGCCATATTGACCAATCAAAGTGCATTTATCCATTCCACGTGGAAGTTCATCTCTTTTACTTTCTCCAGCATGGTGATGATATCAATCCTTGCCTCTGGTTCCTGTTGCAGCATGGCCGTCAAAATATACCTGAAAAATACATTTTATTTCTAAATCAAATTAGAGTA